CAGATGACTTTATCCTGAATAGAAAAACCCGTTAAGAGCAAGCTGGTTGGAGTCTGATGCACTTGTTTTGGCCAGTCCTTAAAGGTTTTTTTTACAATCCTCACATTTAATTATTGACTAACCATCTGCTTGAATCTGATATGAAGTATGGCGGATACAATCTGTTGTAATATCTGACATGTCAATCTCTGTGTATCAAAGTACAAACATACTGTAAGCTTTCCGATAGAAACAGATTTATTTTTTTAAATCTCCTGTTATTTTTATACTCTTGCCATCTGATTTTAGGGTATGGAAAGAATTGAGATTTTAAGAAATTAATTATGCTTACAATGTATTGAAAGAAGGAAACTTGGATATGCATGATTTCTTTTTTCTTTAGATTAAATCGATGCTTTATTTGAACAGGTGTAGTATGAGATTCCATTTTCCTCATACATTTCCATATACTATCATCAGAATTGGAATAAAACAGAGAGCAGCATCAGATCTCATGATTCCTGTTTAGTGTTTAGTGAATGATTCCTGTTCAGTGGTTAATGAATTGGGTGTTTCAATGAATTGATCGGTTTAATCATATAGGTTCTGAGTGTTAAGTTGCATAACTTTTAGTGAGATCACGTTTCAAAACGCTTTAGTTTGACAACTTCAAATCGAGTGTAAAATTGCACAACTTCTAGTGAGGTAAACTTTCAAATGCCACAGGTTATCAACTTCAAATGTATAGACTATGAGTGTGATGTTGAATATCTTCTAGTTAGTAGGACGATTATTTTAAAATTGCTTTAGGTTAACTAGATGTGGAGCATCTGCTATACAAAGTGTTGTTTGTGCTGATTATGAAATCCTATTACTGTTCATCAAATATTAATCTTATATCTTTTACATAACTTGTGATACTTGTGTCAGATATATTTTGATATTAATTTATGTAGTAATAACATATGAATGATGATTTGATGCTGTTTTGAACACTATACTTCATATTTTCTAAGAATTAACATTTTTATGTTGTGGTAACATATCTTTTAGAAAAATATAGTTTTGTTTCTATTGTATAAACAAAGTACCTCAAAAGGATTTAGTTTGAATCCATGTTCCATGTTACGAAAAGTCTTTTAGCTGAATTATATAAACTATTCTTAGTGTTGTTGTACTTCTTTGAATGAACTGTAATGTGTGTTTTGTTAAAAAAAATCCACATATTGAAGTTATACAAACTTGTTCTAAAGAGTTAAATATTTGTATGGTATCATATGAAATTTCAAAAGTAAGAAAACTAAATTTTACATTATCAATTCACATAAAAAAAACTAATCCTAAACCTTCCTTTTGTCAATATTTAAAAAAAAAAAAAAAAAAAAAAAAACTTTATGATAAGCTAAACTTGTTTTTATTAATGTTTAATAGAATGTTGTGTATATATTGTTGATTAGAAAGTTTTTTTAATTGGGCAACCTATGTATAGCCTCATAGTCATTGTTGTTTCTACTAGTCCTAGTCTTTGGCTATGGTGATGATTGAACTCACAAATTTGGAAATTTTATCTCTCATCTGATCTACATATGTCGCATTCAGCAGTCATCTGGATTTGTTAAAATATAAAACTAATGATAAAAAGCATGTTCGTTTACACACAATTTAATTATTTAAATATACATACTGACGAAATGTTCACGTTTACAATATAATAAAGACAAGACAGACAATCAGTTAACATTTTAATAACAATACATGGGTTAACGAATACATACTCGAGCTGTTGTCTTAAAAGTCTCCACATAAAGGAATAAAAAATGATAGTCGTTATGGTTTTATGAAGCGACTTTCTAACCGGTGCATAGATTGAAGGATTTCATTAATCTTCTTTCTGCGTCGCATTTTTTTTAGTTCCCTACTTCTCCATTCTGAGCTAGACACATTTGAAATATAATCGTTTCTCGTGTCGTTTGGAATTTTCCATCGATTCACTTCCCCTATAAAATGTCTTATAACATCATTTTCAAGTAAAAAGCATACACAAAATTAAATAAAGAGTCCATTTTCTCGATATAAGTTCTTTCATTCGCCATTTTAGTGGTTGATTTAAGTGTACAAATCAAGCAAAGAGTCTCAGTCTGACAATGTCTATTTTGTTCACAAACCTGAGAATGTTCCCACTGAAATGTTGTTTCACATAGTCTTCAGAGCGGAAACACTCCTCTTCCATCAACTGTTGTAACACGTGTGAAGGAATACAGGACTGAATATAGTAAATTGACGCCACAGTTTTTCCACTTCTAAATGGTTGACGGTTGACAGGGCTTCTTTGAAATATCTATCTACTATGTCTTCACTATCAAGCATGACACAGGCATGTCCTTGCTGGTTAGGTTGACCCTCCCACACATCCTGCACATACAAACAATTTCGATATGACCTCTTTCACGCTCAATTGGGGTTGGCTCGTATCACCGTGTCGTTCAGGTCCGATTACAGTGACATGACTTCGTCTTTTCACTAGGTGTTCCGTTTTCTGTCATAGCTTGATCTTTATATCGACGGTCGTGTCACTCGTTTAGTTGTTACAGATAATGGTATATTGTATTGAAAGTTCTTTTTATTTTGTCCCTTGTTATTTTTTTTGAAAGTTAAAATGCTGCGTATGGTTACAAAGCTGACCAGGCTGTGAGAGTAACTTGCTACGTATCAAGCGGTTATAATGTAGGTCAGGCACTGGTTTGACACAAACTCGTATGGACTTCACATGGACGGTTTATTACATGGACCTAGATTGTACCAATTATATAGCATGGACCTTCCCCCCTTCCCTTGCTTTAACATTTTCCCTTTACTGGACTTTTCCCCCTTGCTCTAACATTAGCATGGACCTACACTGGACCAACTCTATAGCATGGACCTAGACTGGACTTTCCCCCCCTTGCTTTAACATTAACATGGACCTACACTGGACCTACATGAACCTACATGGACCGTTTAATACTCCTAAAATACATCTACTGAGTCCCCTTGGCCCAAGGATGCTCCAGATCAAATTAGAATAAAATCCCTTAATCCCTACGTAAGAAGAAGGGTTTAAAACACTTGACCTCATTATACCTTATTGGGCCCCGCCCCTCTGCCCTCTGGGAAGGCATACCCACCATTTATATAAAAATGAGTCTCCTTTTCCCAAGGATGCTCCAGACTAAATAAGGATAAAATCCCTTAATCCCTATGGCAGAAGAAGGATTTTAAATGTTTTACCTATATTTCCCCTATTGGGCCCTGCTCCTCTGCCCCCAGGAGAGCCACATCCACCATTTATACAAAATTGAGTCCCCTTGGCCCAAGGATGCTCCAGACCAAATAAGGATAAAATCCCTTAATCCCTACGGTAAATGAAGGATTTTAAAGGTTATACCACTATTTCCCCTATTGGGCCCCGCCCCTCTGCCCCCAGGGGGTCACACCCGCCGTTTAAACAAAATTGACTTCCTTGGCCCAAGGATGATCCAAACAAAATTTAGTTAAATTCCACTAAGCCGTTCAGGACAAGTAGCGTTTTAAAGGAAAAGTTGACGGACGGACGACGGACGCTGCGCCATGGTATAAGCTCTATTGCCCTTCGGAATAGGTTTTGTAACTTATCCAGATACACTTTGGAGTTGACGTCAAAACCTTTGTTTGAAATCCTTTTTCCTGTGGGGACCAAGTTGACATGCTGGCATACACCTGTACACTGTTCGGACATGATACGTAAAGGTAACTTGTAAATACCGTAAATTTCCTCGACAACAATGTCAACAAATCTAAGCCACGAATTGCATTTTGCACAATTCATGTTTTCGGACAGCACTGTTAGCTCAACTACCCTTCGTCCCTGGAACCATGTTTTTTAGGTCCGATTTCCACGTTCTCACTGACATGAATATCGCGATCTTGAACGGTGTGTGAATTAATATTATTGTCATGACTGTTTTGTGGAATCGACACATAATCGTGGTCATTGTTGCTGGTACCGTACTTCTTCTCGTTCAAAATACGCATATATTCTGACGTTTTCACAATCCCTTTCTTTGCCTGTCTTCCCTTTAGCCTGATATAACTGCGACTACCGCTTCTGTCGTCTGCCATATTTGTATACCGCGGCTTACTGACATTTATGCTTCCGGTTATATTTTTATGAGTGCGGTCACGTGATTTTTCAAATTCATGTGACTATCTATACTAGTCTGGTTCCCTGCTGCGAATGCTCCGAATAGCGCAGACTCGTCGGAGCATTCGCAGCAGGGAACCAGACAAACCACTATCCTGCTCCCCCTAAACAAATGCTTTCTTATTAGATATTGAAAAATCTCTACGATGGCCGACAGCGGCCATACATGCAATGTATTATACAGCAAGTAGACTACTGCATAAATATGTTACTTAATGACAATTGTACAAATAAAACTTTTTAAAGAAAAAATGTACGCAATGACTTATGTACAAATCACGGACTAATCTAATTCCGTGGTACAAATAAAACTTTCGACAAGAAAAAAAATGTACATAATTTCGTAACTGCATTAAAGTTATACAAAGTCGTTAAATAGTCTTATACTTACATTGTTTCCTCTTACATGAACAGAACACAACTACACCTCGCAATCTTCTCAAGCAATTAATCACTAGTCTGGGTTTCCCCAATTGGACCGAGCAAGCTCCGGAGCATTCTTAACATTCTTTTGAGAGTATTATATGTACATAACATATTACATAACATTATGTACATTTTTATTTCTTTTTGAAAAAAAATTGTGTACATAAGTCATTGCGTACATTTTTTTCTTTTAAAAGTTTTATTTGTACATTTGTCATTAAATACATATGTATGCAGCACTTTCTGTATTCTATGCACGGCAGCTGTCGGCCATCGTACTTTCTCGTTCCGATTGGTGTATGTTATCAGTAGCTTCCGTTCAAATTTATCGCTTAAATGTTGAGTCATTACATATATTTAATATATTATCAGTCGAGTGATATCAGTAAAGGCACTATACTTTTTGTCGACTCAAAGCGGTGGATCAAACTTAGTAGGGACGACTGGTAAGTTACATGACACCATTTTTCCTTTCTCGAAGACGTTATGTCCGACATTGATTCTCGGTTTTCATGATGCCTAAGAATAATAGGAACACTTCCATTCTTTTCTGATGTTTCAAACAACAATTGTTGAAGGCGTACCCGATAAAGCGTATTCGAATAACAGTTAAGTCATTTAGTCCTATCACAGGAGCCTGAAGTTCTGTCAAAAATTCACCTGATTCAGTTCGCCGCATATAAAGTTTGCTCATCATATTAATTAAATGGTATGTTCAAAACTTGTTACACATTATTACAGTGACTGTTAGACTGTCAAGAATGGGTTTAGGTTCCCATGTAACAGTACAGGTAAATTACTTTTTGATGAGTGACCAGAGTTTTACCTGGCGCCCTGTGTCTGACATAGAGAGCCGATATATGATACTTTATGTCTGTTATGAAAACACAACTGGACGTTAAGTATTTGTTATTTTGCATTCGTTTTGGTTCAGAGCTCGCCTTTACCTGCATATGGAACAGTGTCCATTTGTGTTATAATTTTACATGTGTTGATTAGGGTCGTTTAAAAGGAACCTTCCTATGAAATTTGAAGTTAATCCGTTGAAAACGTTTTGCCAATTAAATAAAGGGCCATTACTCCGTAAATTACGGTCCGATAATTACGGTTTTCGAATTTGTCCGAGCTATTATGGTAATAAACCTTCCTGTGATGTTAGAAGTTTCGTCCGGACACCGTTCGTTTTCTCGTGAAAGAAAAATAACACAAAGTTAACAAGTTCAATGCCTTTAAGAAATCAATATCATTACAAGTATGTCAATATTGCACACATTCTTGTGTAAGGTAATTAAACACACCTATTCAATATATCTTTTTAAATGATCATATGACGGTATGATGTAATTTTCTGTATTGATAAATAGATACTGTTTACGTGATGAATAGGAAATGAGCGATCTACGTCACCCCGTCCCTCCTTCTATATTTATTCTAAATCCCTCCCTATCGGGATGGATCAGTGAGGGACCAATGAGGGACTGACCCCATAATAGGTCAGTTAACAAATATAGGTGTTCTCCCCACCCGAATTAGGGATCATTGAGGGACGAGGTATATGCCTCGCGTCAAGTCTATATTAAGCACGACTGGTTCGAACCGCTTGGTTGGTTGGTTGGTTGAGATGTTTAGCGCCTACATGAATCCGCCCTTACGGGTTTCATCTCACTGACGGAAGTCAGTGTTCTGTCTTTGCTTCCGTTAGGTACAGTACTTTGCTTCTTTTGTCAGGCTTGGCTGGAGTCTGAGATTATCCGAGGGGTCCCTATGGTGTATGTGGGTTTTTACCTTTAATTCTATGGTGTATGTGTTTTTGTTTTTAGAAGAGAAGAAAAAAATAAAAAAAATAATGTGGTGTTTTTTTTTACAGTTTTAGAGAAATATTTTGAGTTATCCGAAAAAACCATAAGGGTAAAAATTGGCTTATAGGGAGAGGGTCTTAAAGGGGGATCTTCAAGTTACTGGGCTAATAATATATATGTCTTATATGAACTCTTATTATATAAACAGATGGGGTGGTCACCGATCGTATCATATCATGATGTCTTCTATGGCGTGAGTCTAGGAGGAGGGCGTATCATATCCGGGCTGTCCTTTAATTATATTCTACTCTATTTTATGTTTTGATTTGTTCCTATATTTTGGAAGTCCGTCTAATCGTCTAAAAATATGTCCTCTGTGCCGGCGTTAACGCGCCTATATTCGACAGTACACAGAGGGATTTTGTACATGCATGTTGGATCCTCCTACACGAGAACATAGAAGGTATTATGGCCGGTATGCCCTACCTTCTAGACTGCTTTCATAAATATGACGTTGATGTATGTCTTGAAGTTCAAATGCTTAAGGTCGATTGATGTTTTGTTAGATCAAATAGATATTTTAGAATCTGTGGTTTCTGTATATTCCGAGAAGGGAAAAGTTGTTATACTCGGAGATATGAACGTGCAAATCCAAGGTAGTCGGTGTCGATTTGCTGGTAACGACAGATCTTTAAGAGTTCAAGCTTTTTTGAATAGTACAAATATGGCATCTGTAAATGTGACGGACAAATGCAAAGGTCCAACGTATACGTATTATCCAACAACGGGATATTTCACTACTATCGACCATATTATTATTGACTTAGTTTGTTTCGATTTGGCAAAGTTTTAAGTCCCGAATGGGTCAGATTTAATTGGAGAAAAGCTGAAATGAATGGGTCTATTGACCTTTATAGATATCATGCAAATTGTCTCCTTAACAATGTTGAGATACCTGATGATGTTGTACATACTAATGGTATTGATATATTTTACAACAAAATCAAATGCTGTTTAATTGAGGCGTCAGACAAGTCATTTCAGAAAAGTTCATTTAAGAAGTATTTGAAACCATATTGGAGCAAGGAATTATCTGAATTGCACAATGAAATGGTTTCCAAGAGGTCGTTTTGGAATGCGTCTGGCAAACAAAGAGGGAAAAATCATTTGTTCATTGAATACAAGGCTTTGAAAACAAAATTCAGACGATGTCTTCGTCATGCTTTTAATATATATATGAGAGAACAATTCGACGAAATAGATAAATCTGGAGACGTTGACCAATATCTCTTCTGGAAACTATTTAAAAATCGTTCTAACAATGCTGGTTGTTGTCAAACAGAACTAAAGTACAATGGCACCACACCACGTGAACCCGAACAAATTGTAGATGCTTGGGGGTCATCATTTTAGTAAGTTGTTCTATAATGAAACGCTTGAGTCGTTTGAGAAAAACTTTTTTCAAGATGTATTACTTAAGGTAAATGAAATTCAAAATAAGTCTAATCAAGAGAAAGATATATTTCTGTCAGAAATGTTTACCACGGACGACATGCGGGTAGTATGTAAGAAACTTAAGAATGGCAAAGCTGGTGGGTATGATAGCCTGGTCTATGAACACATTAAGTATGGAGGTGGTAGATTATTAAGCCTCATTACCAAATTGTTCAATATGAGCATATACCTGAAGACTGGAAAAAAGGAACAAATTTTACTTTTTACAAGGACAATGGAAAACCCAAAGACCACCCAAACAGTTATAGGGGTATAACTCTTATACCCGTCTTTTTTAAAATATTCGAGTCAATTTTGTCTCTCAGAATGGATTTTTTTACTAGATTCAGAAACGTTTCCAAACAGACAACAATCGGCTTATATGAAACATTTATGTAGCCTATGCACTTCCTTCAATTTACAGGAATGTGTGAGATACAACCTAGAAAATAGTGATATATGATATCTATAACTACGGACTTAGATACGTGCTATAACAGAGGTAGTACTGGATCTATTTTTATAGTTCTTACTCTGTGTTTTATATATAATCACGGAATTAGATTATCTAAGTCCGCGATATTATGTATTGTTGTTAAACACTTTATTGTCAGAGTTCCAAACACTTTTGATACTCATAAGACAGGCCCATTATATTTTGACTGTTGGTAGGTTATCAAAAGATTATTTTTTTGCAAACATTTTAAGTCATTATCATGAACAGTTTAGATAAATGCATGTAATTTGTAGGAAAATTTAAGTTTAAACATTTTTACAGTATCAGTATTTTCTTGCAATGTACTGATTTTGAATAAGTGTAATCTACTTAATGGATTTAAATAAATCCAATTTCTTATTTTGGCTACAAAATATTTCAGGTAAGGAGCTCGAGGATTTTACTAGTTCGCTGAAAGGAAACACATTTTGTTTAGCCTCATCACGGTGCCTCGTCATGGATTTACGTTATTGTTCATAGCAAAACCACAAGTGATTTTGATCGAAGTTAATAATAAAGTCATGCTGATGCAGTTATCGTCTCTGAATTCAATTTCCAGTGGGGAAATTTGAAATAACATATTGTCTTTTAGTTTCATGTGGACTCCATCTTGAACCAAAACTAAATCACAAAAAGATAAGTTAGCTAAAGACACACATTCATGAAAACTTAGAAAAGAAGAAATTCAATTTCACTTGGTAGAGTACATATCCAATAAGGCAGTTTTTCACTGCAAGTCTCGGACAAAATATTTTCTTAAGAAATAAAATAGAGAAAAAGTTAATAAAATAAAGAGACAAAACAGTTATATACATATTACAAGTGTAGGGCAGTCCTTTATTAAATCTTTAAGATGTCTTTTTGTAAGTTTAGGGAAATGGCAAAGTATTCTAAAACATATATTGATGTGAATATTCTAGCTACCAGGTAATACATGAACTTGAATATAACATTTGTTTGATATACATGTACAGTACGCGTCAGGTGATTTGGTACTCAGTCGCCCGCCGAGCGACAATTTTTAATCCCTGTCGCTCGAAGCCGCGGGATGGCCGCAGAAAAAACGCCGGGTAGATCAAGGTAGATCCGCCGGCCTTACTGGGATAAGCCCTCCGCGACAATCCCGCGGTCGGCTCATTCCCCGAACACCAACTCTGGAGAATTGAAAGGAAAGTGTTTACATAATAAATCCTTTGACGTTTAGTAATAGCCTGTCTCAACTAAGAATGTCAACTCATGTAGATATGATACTAAAGTCAACAATAAAATGGATAAAAAGTTTGTATTTCCTACATATAACTGTAATACACATTTAACACAGAACTAAGTAATAGAAAATAATCATTAAATATTTTTTACATTATATTAAAAAGAAAAATAACATTACATTATATGAAAAACAAAATTCCTTAATTTAAGCCACATTGATACTAATGTCAGCAATAAAATACACTTTATATTCCTACATATAACAGTTATACACATTTAATACAGCACTAAAAGATAGCCATAATTAAACATAAATATAAACAGTAAACCTTTCTGAAGCTAAAGTCGATGAAGAATTTTGCATGAATCATGATGATTTTAGTTGGAATGGATTTTTGGAATTCAGAAGTTTTGCCAAAAAGTATAATATCTTCCTTTATTTCGAATG